GCCATTCCTGATTTCAGAGTGCTCTGATCCCAGCACTGCAAGTGGACAAGAGAGGGATAAGAGCAGCTACTGCTTTGAAAGCTCTAAGAGGATTAAAGTCCAGGACAGAATTTAACAAGCTCAATTAGAAGCATTTTCAAAAGCACTTTCTTTTCTTTTATGCTCTGAGGACAGGTCTTTTTCTTAAAGTGAGACAAATCTGACATTTCTGACAAACAGAGCAGCTCTCTTCCTACTTGAGGCTTTTCTCCAGATGATGTAGCACTCAAGGCATCCCAAAAGCCCCACCAGTGCCTGCTGGACTACGATCCCAGTGCTCCTGCTCTTTCACAGCTAAATAGAATTGTTTGTTTGAATTGATAAGTGAGAAAGGAGGAAAGCATTTTACACACTGTGCAGATAACAGAGGTACTGCCAGTGAAATAATATATAGAAGTAGAGCTCTGTTAGCACAAGATCTGTAGCTTCAGAGAGTTGCTCAGTATGTATTTTTAGCTCCCTCCCCACAACACGACAGAAGAGTGAGGACAGCTTAAGCCATTTCCTGATTGTTCTTTCAAGTCAGTTCTGTTGATTTTCCTCCAATCTCACTGTCCTGTACAGCCAAGTCTTCCCTAACCACACATATCTTTCAAGCTGACAGGAAAGAGATAAAGAGAGCAATCCTGCCAGCCTGGAGGACACTTTCACGTTGACATCACCATAACCCCATGCAAAGAGATTTGTAGTGCGTGTTCTGTTAAAAACGCTGCATGTTGCATAACCAAATCAGAGTCTTATCCCAGAAACAGTTCACAGCAGGCACGACCCACCTCTGAAGCCGATGGCTCCCCCCGTGATGCAGCCGCTGATGACGCTGTTCTTCCAGTCCGACCTTCCGCGGTACTGTGGAGTTAACAGCCAGAGTCAAGTAAACAGGGAACAAATGCTCAGTAGCTGTAACAGCACAGATGAAATGACCTTCCAGCCCCTTCTCAGCTCAGGCTGTTTTTCCCCTCTGTTCTCAGCAGATGGCCCCCTCCACCCTCAAACGTTGGGCTTGCAGGGCTGGGAGAAGAGGAAGGAAGGGTCACCGGGAGAGGTGAGACTAACCCGTGTGGTGCAATGCGGTGCTACAGCAGAGGTCCTCAGGTGAGCTGGAGGGTGTGGAACCAGCTCGGAGGCTTTAAAGGCATTCTAACTACACGAGAGCAACACTGAGCCTGGCCACTAAGCCTGGTTCTCACCCAGGCACGAGCCACAGCACCCTGCTGACAAAGAGGTACTACTGCCACAGCCAGAGCACGATGGGTCTTCATCAGTGCACAGATCTCTGTTCCACTCCACTGGGCAAGCAGATACACTTTTCTTCTAGATAAGTTACAAAATAATTGTGTCTTTCAATTAAAAGGCAGTTCTCAAATTCACAACAGGATAACTTTCCTGGTTGAGAACACGGGTGATAGATTTACCACTAAGTTGCATCAGGTGATTTCTTGCTGTAGGGGCAAGATGAAAACGGGCCTGTTATTTAAGATTTTCATTGTGGATCCCTTTCTGCACATGGAACGTTTAGAGGCTCAGAGTACCATGTTGCAACTCACAGTTTGATGTTTTAAAGTAACAACAACAAGTACTTTTAGCAAGGGTCTTAAAAAGTAATACCTATACATGCTAATACATTCAGGACTTGATCTGAAAGGATTTTGCTTTCGCTCTTCTGCTCATTCTGTCAGGGAACAGCAGTTCTGAAGGCAGGTCTCAAAGCTGAAAAACAAGCTAGCCCACTCCCTTGCCCTGTTACCAAGGGGATATACAGACTTATTTAGATCCAGTAAAAGACATTATTAAGTATCTGAGAAAACATTTCTTAATGCTTATGAAGTTATGACTCACGGACTCCACCACGCATTCGGTGCAGGAGAATATGGCCCCCACGATGGCGAAGTTCTTGGCGTAGGATATGCCTCGCTGCCCCATATCTTTGAGGACCTCTTTAGCCGTTGGCGTGCGATACGGATCCTTGGGATCAAACCCAACGTTGGTGTCGATGCCAGCTGTGAAGACACCAAAGGCGCCTCCCAGAACAAATCCTGTGAAAAACAAGCAGAATAAAATGAACTTTGGCTGGATTCGAGCAGCACATTCCTCACAGGCAGCAGAGCATCTCCACTCCCACCGTCTGTCAACGCTGCAGCGTGACAGGGGCAGTGTGAAAGCACAAGGGGCTTGTCTCTCGATACGACACATACTGCAGCTGCCAGCCTGTGCCGTGCCGAGGAAAGGCTGCGAGCACCTCTCCCTTTGCAAGGAAGGCAGACGGGCAGAGATTCCCCCCTGGGACCTGCGACGGACGCTGGGGGAGGCTTACAGGAAGGAAGATGAAACACGAGGGTCCCCGTCCCGCAGCC